TATTGTCTCTTCCTGTCCTGCTCATTTCAAGATTTTCATTCCTTTCTCAAACTTCACTACAACTTGGTTTTTGGTCTCATCCTATCTGAAATTACTCACCTCGAGGTTTAGTTCTACATGTTGACTATAGGGTAACACTTTTTCCCTCTTGATCTTGTTGCAGGTTTGGATGCATCTCTCCATCTCTCTCCTGAGCTGCTTCGGCTGTTGCTCTCTGCACTTTCCCGTGCGCCTCCACTGACTCGGGCCGCCTTTGCCACACTCATCTTCAGCGCTGGCAGTGTCCAGGGCCCTTCTGGCTCTGCGCTTTCCTGACGCTACAGTTTGGGTGCTAACTACTCCTAAGTGCGGTCCTGGCCTGGGCCTTGGCTGTAGAAGGATCATGCTTGTGTATGTTCCTGCCGTTGGGTATCACCAGTCTGTTGCAGAAATCACTTTCAACATATTTAAAACTGGATCTGGTCACAGAAGGTGGAGAACCCTGGTAGCGCTCCCCAACACCCGGCTCTCAGGCCCTGCTGTTTTCCTAAATGCATCTGTGATCAGCGCAGTCTGCATCCCCACAGCTGTCACTACCTTCATTCGGTCACTGTCGCTGAGACTGCTCTCATGCCCTTGCCTGATAACTTCATCTGTCCTCTATGCTGCTGAAGTTTCCTCAATCCTTAGTGGCCTTCAGAGGCCTACACAGCAAAATGGTCAAATTACATCATCCCCACATTGCTAAAGTCATCAGAATCATCTAGGATTGTCTTGGGTGGCACCTCAAGGTACTGCACTACGGGCACTGTATGCTGTGGCCGCTTTCAGACTTCCACCCTCCACTCTCCCCACTTTGTCAACATTCTATGACCAAGAATATAAATGCACACACAAAATAGTTAGGGATTTCATTAAGTCCCACATGGTACGCTAAGTGATTTTATTTACCAAAATACATTTTACATCTTATTTCCAAAACACATGGCTTGAGACTGTGTCTTCTGACTTAGAAGAGGATTCTTTACTACCAGATAATAGAGAAAATAATTCAAATAAAAATACAACAAACACAATAAAATATTGTATTTCCCACTCTCCATGTATCTAATAGGATGACAAGCATCACAAAATCTGGAAATATAAAAGTAGATCTTTCAAAAGATATTTAAAAAATCAACAAAATTTTGTCATTAACCTAAGTTCAGACCTTAACAGGAGACTAAGTAGACTTCCCAAGATGAAATCTTCCTTAAGGGCAACCACTAAGGCAGGTGGGAGCCCAGGACTGCTCCTGACTGTGGCTTTGCTTGGGCTTAGTTTGTGGGTACTGGTTCACCTCTTTGAGCCTCAATTTCACCTTCTTAATAAGAATTTGGATTAGAATAGGTTAAACCTGTAGCCCACTGACTCCCAAGGCACACGTGGGACTGGGGTGGGGGCAGTCATGATTCCTTGGAAGTTGTAGTACAATTCTCCGTGTGAATTTATTCTACTGCTAAGGAGAGACTTCACTCTTTCATTAGATCCCCAAAAGCGTTTGAATTTCAAAAATGGTTAAGAACATCTGGATTGTAGTAAATAATTTCTCGCATCTCTCATATTGTACGATTCTAGAAATATTTTGAAACTATGGAATATGGAAACCTATGATTAATTTAATTTTATAAGATGATTTCTATTCTTCTCTCCAAGATGAGTCTGATAAAGCCAAAATTACAATGCTAAACAAATTACAATCTAAGCACAGTGTCATTTCTTAGTGGAAAAAAGCTAATGTACAGGGGGAGAAATTGTATAATACATTGTTTCATTTCAATGGTTGCCTGTGATTGCGATTACAGTATCTGGGAAAGTCACAAACAGGGTGCAGGGTGCCTGCCTATGAGCCCAGTTGAGGGACTAAGGGGAGATGATTGTGACTTCAAACCCAGCCTGGGTAATTGAGACCCTCTCAAAAAAAAAAAAAAACAAAAAACAAAAAAACAAAAAAAAAACCCAAAAACAAAAACCCGAAAGCTTGGGTTTGATTTCCACCAGTGGGGGTGGGAATAACAAGAAAAGAATAGAAATAATTGAAAACTGTAGCCTACTTATTTCTTTCATTTTGCTTTTTCTTTTTTTGGTATTGGGAACTGAACTCAGCCAGGACCTTGCACTTGCCAGGCAGGCGCTATTCCACTGAGCTACATCCCTGGCCCTAGTCTACTTATTTCAAACAATATCGAACAAAATTACTAACAAAGACACTCTAGTTATAGGGTGTTCTCTGGCCCCCTCCCCGCTGCAATACTGAGGTTTTAAACCAAGTCCTTGTGCATAGTTCTATGTTCCACCACTGAGCCATGATCCCAGCCTAATCCACATCTGTGCTGTTATTTCTTTACTTGAATTCATCTTCAATTGGCTGCTTAGCTAAATCTATTCTTCTCAAAATCGGATCTATCTCACTTCTTTATGTGTGTAACGATGCCTCGCTGGTAGTTATGAAAGCGCAAATATCAATATGAATTGGGAACACAGATCCAAGGTTTCCAAAACCTACAAGAGATTCAGGTCAAGAAAAAATGGTAACAAACAAAAAATAATCAGTAATTTCTGTAGGTCCAATAAACTGTTTCTACATTAAAAAAATTGTCAGAAAAACAAGAGGAAGAAATCTATAAAATAAAACCTAAGAAAATAACTTATGTTTTTAATGCTGGTCTTGAGTTTCAGGGCTCAAATGATCCTCTGGCCTGACTTGGTCTCTCGACGAGATTCCAGGCAGGAACCATCATGCCCAGGCAGAAAACTGGGGTGGGGTGAACGGCTAAAAGGCTTACTGGAGATTTGGTATCAGGGGAACATTAATATTTAAAGATAAGACTTATAGGTAAAACATGCTCTGAATTTCTGTCAGGCAGTATCAGAGGGGGAGTATGTGGGGAACACTCAGAAGTTTGATCACAAATTCAGAATGACTAAAACGGAGTGGTGGCGCATGCCTGTAATCCCAGCACTCGGAGGCCAACACAGGAGGATCGTTACAAGTTCAAGGGCAGTCTGGGCTACAAAGTGTGCTTAAGGACAGGCTAAACTGCGCAGCAAGAAGAAAAGAAAAACCAAAAAACCCTGAAACCTGATGAGGGGAAAAATTGTACACATACTATAACAAGTAATGAAGTCACATGTAACTGAGGTTTTGAAAAAGGTAGTTTAAAAGGAGTCACCTAATGTCATGCAGTGACCAGTGAACAAATCGAACAGCAGCTTGTTTGGTTGAGTGACCTGTCACACCACATTTACATTCAGTTGTTTCCAAGTAAGGAACATTAAAACAAGTCGGTGTTTTTTCCGCTTGTTTTTAATTCAAATGAAATTAGTGCTTCTTACGCAAAGCTTAGAGGCTCGACCTTAAGTCTTAAAATGATGAAGATAAACAGTAAAAGGTTCAAAGTAAGGTTTTGTTGTTTCTGGAGGTGGCAGAGGTGCACTGTACAAAGGAGCTACACTTCTACTCCGGACAGGTAGGATTTTCAGACCACAAATTATTGTCATTGCTGTTTCAAGTGACATGACTACTCTAAGGGGCAACCTGATGAGCTTATCCCTAACAAGTAATTTCACTGCAGCTTAAGACCCATCTTCCAGGTTGGCAGTTCTGAAGATGCAGACCTGCACACTGGGTAGTGAGCAGGATTTTGTGTGTGCAAATAGTGTATCATACATTTCCCTGGTTAAGTTTACTTCCTAGATAAAAAATAGGAATCTATGTTCATAATGAAATATACATGGCAAAAACCAGCTTGATTTACCCATCCCCCTAAATCATGCTATAATTGTCAAGCCTGTGTGCATTACCACTAACAATTCAAATACTCAACGTATCAACAGAGAAACTAGTACGTTAGTTTTCTCTAAAAACTCAGTGTTATTACTCAACTCTAGAAAGTTCTACAGATCCCTAAATTTTCTACCTACCATGTGTTTTGGTATAGATCTTTAAAAAACTAATGTCTTTTGCTCCAATAACAATCTGAAATTCTTTTGTGGCAATTTAAAGTTTTGTATTAGAACTCAAAATTTTGTAATAAAACTTGGCAATATCTGGGGAGATGTGCTGGAGATTGAATCTAGGGCCTAATGTAAGTCAGTAAAATCGTCTACCATGAAGCTACCCCAAATCCCTAAAATTTATACCAAATATCTTCAAAATCCAGTAAAACATGACAGCTTAGGACAGATTACTGTAATTATTCAATAAAATTGAACTTTGCCAATCCCCTCTATACTAAGAAACTGATTTTGTATGACTTTCAAGGCCTAAACTTTTAAGACCTAAACTATCCACCACTTAGCTGTGCTCCTATTCCCTTCTATTAATTTTGAGATAGGGCCTAATTGTAAATCCCCTCTATACTAAAAAACTGATTTTGTGTGACTTTCAAGACTGTAACTTTAAGACCTAAACTATTCATCACTGAGCTATACCCCCTTCTATTAATTTAGAGATAGGGTCTAAGTTGACTAGGGGCCTTGAATTTGCAATCCTCCTCCAAAGTGCCTGGATTACAGGCTTGTACCACTATTCATGGCTTAAAATATCTTTGAGAAATTTTCAATTTTATGAAACTTTGATTATATGTTTAAGTCACAACCTTTATTTGGCTTACTTGAATATAGCTCCATTATACGTGGAATATATGGAAAACTCCACATTTTAGTCCTGAATGATCAGCAGTTATTCACCTATGACTGAGGCAACAGAAGACTTGCTATGTCCTAAAGGTACTTCCAATAGGACTTCCAAGGAAACACACTATAAGGCTACTTCAGGAGCTGGTTTGCTTTCCATAGTTCAGTTAGCTTAGTGAGATAATTACAATTCTGGATTTAGATCCCCCTTATGACACTGATTAGCAAAATTACTGAATCTTTTCAGTCTGTCTTTTCTATCTATAAGACGGGGACGAAATAGGGGTCCTGTAAGAATCAAACACAACAGCATACACCATCATCAGACACACAGCATTCAAAACTGGCTTTTACTCAGTTTTATTCTGCAGTACCCTCTGGGCTAGACTTGGTATTTTATCTGATATTTTTTCATCATCTACCTGAAATCCACTGTTGATATAAACTTCCAGGGGCAAAAAACCCAACCTAGTTTTGTCCAGAGTTCACAGCAAGAGAAAAGGGAACATGCAAATAAAGGGAGAAAACATTTCCTGTAAGAAAGCATTATGAAAGAATTCCACATAGCATACTGGTCCTGGAAACTTATACTCAAGTGTTTTAACAGGTGTTCACAGAAAGGTATTTTGTGGCAACTCACAAATTGAATACCTTCTATGTACTTGCTAGACTGATAAAGGTTAGCATATTAGAGGTCAATTTTTCCAAAGGGTTTTAAAAATAAGTACACATTTAAGAATATGATTAAACTTGCAACAGCCCTCATTGACTGTAAATTTTACACATTAATATTTTTCTGAGTGTCAACTATACAAATCTAAGATTAAGTGCCATACTCTCAAATTTAGTTGAGGTATTCATAGTAAGTAATGTATAAATGAGAAATACTTCCAAAAGATGATAAAAATTTTAGAAAATGAATATCCCAACTAGTCAAACTACTCTTTCTGCATTAAAAAATAATCTGTGAAAATGCAGTATGTGTATTATGAAGTGTCATACTCAATTCTATTTCTAAAATAACATGCCATCACTTTTAAGAAAATGTTTTTCCAAAATAGAACTGTTACCTTTCCCCAAAGTTTAAAAAATAAATATTACCAACATGACATCACTAGAAAGAAATTGAAGCATACAAGGAATAAACTATAGTTTCTTTTTATATCAAAATGTACTCTTGAAAATGTGTTTGGCACAGTGCTAAATCATATATAGTTAATACTAAATATTGCAGGATACAATAAAACCCTGGAGTTAATTGTTTACACCCTCTACGGGAATGAAAATAAGATACCAATTATTCAGAAGTCAGCCTATACAAACTGTATAAACAATATTTTATGTTTTGCTTTGAAAACCAGTGATATAATAAATTTTACATAAAAGACTGCAAAATAATATAAATGGATTTAAACAGATCTTTACAATAAGAAATTCAAATGGAAACAGACAAGTAACAAAGAGAAGTAAAAAAATTTATTGCAGTATTTGCTCCACCAGATTGCCTGGGGATCCCTTTTCTTGTATTGTTTTCAGGGTGACCTAATACAACAAAATCTACATTTACAAAAACTCCTTCTGCAGATAGGTCATAGATACTGCATGCTTTTTTTTTTTTTTTTCAACAGAATAAATTATATATCCAGGAGATTCTGCCATTTTACAGCCTGGAATAAACAATGCTTCCCTGGAAACTGGGCTAAGCTAAAGAAAGCCATCCGCTGCTAGGTTAAACTCCAAGAACACTTTATTAAGAACATTAACAGACTAGTTTCCAACATTCACTTGTTTATTTTTTTAAACAGAAAGTTTTTTTTCCAAGATATAAACAATTTTTGTTAAACTATAATACAGTGGGAGTAAAAATGAACTGAGAATCTGTTTCTGCTGCACAACAGCGAAGGGAGCTCCCACAAAAATGTTTGCCCAACATTTCCTTCTTTGTTCCTGCATCCCAGGTTCCACTCTTACTCTTCAAAAAAACTGATTTTCTTTTTTTTTTTTTTGCCAGAATGTTGATATTTCAAGTTTTTCTGCCTTTAAAAAAATTCCTGTAAATTTGGCTGCATGTACAAATTCATTAGCTGGAAGTCCCATCCTTGGCGGCATACAGGGATCGTAAAGTCTGAACAACTTTATTAGTCAGCTTATTAGCACTCGTTAGAGCAATTTTTTTGTAAATAATGTCTGACTCTTTAATAGTGTCTACCCAAGGCACCAGTTTGCGGCCATCGCGGCGCTTAGCCTCAGTCCAGGAGCCACTGTAGGAGCCTGCCATCCACTGAACACTGAAGCCACTGCTGGTTTTCTGTACTACTCTTGCAATTTGCGGTCGATCTTTGTACTTTGGACAGCAAATAGCGATGACATCCATGACGTCAACACTTTCATTCATCTGTGCTGCCAACTCCGTAGAGTCTGAATTTCGTTTTGACCTTCTCAATGACTAAAACATTGGGAGGGGGAGGGAAAAAGACCAAGTGTTACACAAAAGAAATTTAGCGAAATTACTGTTTTTATTGCTTTTAATCCCTTGACGCCGGGAGTTGGGATTTCCCGGCACACTTCCATTGCCGGCAATGAGACGCACCGTGACCTCCAGCGCCAAGGGGTTAACATATACTTGTAAAACCATAGAGCTCTTAATTTGTACCCGTGTCTTTACTCTTGATATATAAAATTATATATACATATGAACCATAAAGCTACATAAAACTTAGCAACAATAAAAAGGATAACACACATTAATACAATCCAAACAAATTAATAACCCTTTATGCTGGATAAATCTCATTTCTTTTTTTTTTTTATTATCTTTTATGTTAAACTTTCTACAAAAGGGTGTATAAATGGTTAAGTAGAGAATCTCTATCTACAAAATGTTTTCTTTTGTAAGTATTACATTACTTGGTGTACATTTAATGGACTGACATATATAAGCACATAAAAATCATTTTACGTAATACGCTGCGAAATACGTTGACTCCTCCTCCGCCTCACCCCTGAAGTGCCTCCTCCTCTATCCTCCCCATCACTCTCATCGTCTTCTGTCTCTGCTGCTGTGTTATTTTTAGGGCTGCCGCCTCCAAGCAGCGAGGTAATTGCTTTGTTCCGAGCGTTTGTGCTAGCTGACACCTCCCCTTCTTCTTCTTCTTCATCAGGGTCTAGATGTTCCATCAGAAGTTTGAACTACAAAAGATAAATTAATTCAGAGTTTTACGTAATTAGTGCAAAGACTGGAAAAATGTCTAGATATTTCTACATCAGTAGTCTGGTGTAGGTGAAAGAGACTAGAGCGATAGCCCACACGAGGGGTTGGAAGACATGTTCTGTAAAAAGGCAGATAGTAAATAGGTTTGAGGTTGCAGATAATTTGCGGTCTGTCCAATTATACCACCGCTGTATGACTGCGGCTAAGAAACTGAACATGACCACTTCGTTAAAACTTTGTTATTAAAACAAACTAAAAAACAGGCAATAGGCTCAATTCCACCCATAAACCATAGTTCACTCTCGGCTCCAAGTCATGAAGCAACCAGGTGATAATCATTACTGAGCAATCTTTCTGCCTCTTCCTCTTTGCTAAGATTAGAGAATCCCTCAAAAAGGATAGTGGACGAGCTGGGGAGACAGCTCAGTGTTGTAAGTGCCTGCCTGGCAAGTGCAAGGTACTGAGTTCAACCTCCAGGACAAAAAAACCAAAACAAAACAACTGAATGCTAAAAAGAAAAAACTTTACCTTCAGTGAGACCCTGTAGATCCTATACTAAATACATTAAAAAAAAAAAAAAAAACAAACAACAGGATGGTGGAGAATTTGAAGTGAAATTAAACTACATTACTTCAAGTAGGTTAAAATTTAAAACTTTATAAGGATTATCCTCTAAAGATATTCAAAAACAATTTTTTTATGCCAAAGTATACACAGAACTTAGCAATTTGACATTTTAAATACAGAATTAATTGGTATTAAGTATATTCACAATGTTGTATAATCATCACTACTATCCCTTTCCAGAGTATTTTATCATTCTAAACAGAAACCTATGCTCATTAAACAACTTCCAAAATTCTTCCATCTCTGGATTATTTCAATTTACTTTTGTCTCTATGAATTTGCTTGTTCTTAAAGACATTTTAAAAGCACATTTTACACACACACAGTTTAAGTATATACACTACAGAAACACACAATTACATATGCTTGTACTCGTCACAGAAGAATATATAAAAAGGTAACAATATTATCAGAAAGGAGAGGAATGGAATGGCTAAAGAGATGATTTCATGATTTTGCCATTCATTCATTCCTTCATTCATCCATTCACTGATTGCTTTTTCTGAGATAAAGAGTCTTGCTGTGTAGTTCAGCCTGGCTTAAACTCACTAGGAAGTCCAGGATGGCCTGGAATTCATAACAATTCTGCCTCAGCCTCCTGAGTATTGATAGATTACAGGCTTGTGCCACAATGCCCAGGTGTTTTACCATTTATAAAATATAAATCATGTAATTTAGTTTTCAGTCATTAGGAGAAGTAAAACATGTTTAGTTACACTACTCACATCCAAGTACTGTTTGACTATACTCCTCTTCACATCTTCAGTGATTTTGGAATTAGCCATGTCACTCCGCAGGAAGTCCAGTGTTTGTTTGGGATGAAAATGAACTCCTGTTTTTCGGTTAATTGCTTTATCATATACTTTTGCAGATTCAGATGGAGAGTATTTCTGAATTTTACTGTTTAAGGAAAAAAAAACCAAGTACCTTAAACATTTTTCAGGCACTTACTGATTCTAGTTAAATTTGCTACTTATAACTTTTTATTACACAGATTTTAACCAATAAGGTTGGACACAAACTATATAAAAGACTATAGACATAAAAGCAAGTAAAAATAATATTCTCTTGTTTCCGTGTTTGTCTTGATTAAAGGCATCAAAATGACAGGACTGGTGAAAATATATACCTAAAGAGTCAACAAATGTGGAGAAATTCAATTGTGGGTATCAATTTTAATAAAATTAGTTTCTCCTACTTTTATACTACTCTGATTATGACTGTAGTATAGCTTTAATATAAGTAAATCAACACCACCTAACTGGTTTACTTCCTTTTTGCCTCATGCATAATTTATTCTCTACATAGCAGACAGAATCACTGCTTATATACTCGTTTCAAACTGTTAGCAACTCTGCTTTAAAAATCTTTCAACTCTTTACCACTGTACTATGACCTTTCAAGATTCTAAACTGCTAAAATTAATTGCCAATATTTCTCATGAGATTCCTAGGGCTAGGAATACAGTTCAGTGGCAGAGGACATACTATGTATGAGAACTCTGGAGTCAATGGCCAGTATGATTTTTAGGAAGTCTGGATTTCTAATATTACCTGAAAAACATGTGAACTCTGACAACATTGTGCCTACTCTCAAACTAACAAAATACTCAGAAATGTTATTTATTTTTGGTGCTGGGGCTCAAATCCACAGCATTATGCATGCTGTGGATACAGCCTACCACGGAGCCCCAGCCCTAGATCCCCAGCTCTAGAAATACCTATTTAAATGTATGTTTTCACAAAGGAGTATTTCTAATATTAAAGTGAGGACGCAAACAAAAATGGGTTGTGTATTTCTTTATTATTTGAACAGTCAGTTCTTTTTTATAGCTCATGATAAACTCACCTATCAGAAAATCCACAGAGATTCTTCAAATGTTGTTTTAACATAAGAAGCAATAAAATACCCTGGGAGACATTTGCAAATTCAATTAAAGGAGCTGAATTTTCTGGCAGACATTTCATCACTGAATTTATATCATCTTCTGAATCTGAATCTGAATCTGAATCTACACGTTTCCGTGACTTCCGAGGCCTAGTAACTTCTTCTTCACTCTCACTTGACTCATTTTCCTTACTAGGTGATGATTTTCTTTCTTTCCTTTTGTCCTTCACCATAGACTGGAAAAAAAAAAAGGAAATTATTTTGTTTGAAAAAAACTAAAAGACCACTATCAAATGTATACTTCACTGACCAGCTTTAATAAGCTTCTTTAATACTTTCTAAACTCCTTTCTATAAACAACAGGGACATAAATCTTGGGGGAAAAATTAGATCCCAAGGCTAAATAAAATCACCTCTATGATTCCCTTCTGTACCAAAATCACTCCCTCCAAACATATTCAAAGATAAACAATTTTCTCATGAAAATAGTAACAAAAGGCAACTTAGTTATAAAAGAATCCCAGGTAAGATGTTATAGAGGATAAATAGTAATTAAAATTTAATTGAGAATATGGTAGGTTTAGATATCCCCAGATTTTATTGAATTTTCTCTCCCTTTCAGGAATCTTACAGCAAGATGATATACAACTTTCCTTGATTCCTTAAATCTTGTTTATTGTACTTTTCAAGAATGTTAGCTCTCCAAAAGAAACAACTGTGTTGGGGGAGAGGGGAGTAAACAGCAGGAACAAATCATAAAAGCAATTATTCAAATGTAACTGTTATGTAGTAAAATATTTACTTACATCTACAACTACAAAAAACTGAAATGGAGCATGATGGCTTAAAGTTGCTAGGAAATGATCAACTTCTTAGATTTTTAACACTCAGGCTAATACACTAGACTCTCCTTCCACAGGTCTAGCACTGTGTCTGAGGTCTTGCAACTCTATAAGCCCTCAGAGGAAAAACGGTGGTGCTGCTGGTCTGCGATCCACATTTCAAGAAACAGGCTGCAGATACCCTGTAATTCTAGTGGTTAGGTATCTAAAATAGTTTTCTTGACCTACCAGTTTGAAAAGACTGAGTTTTGAGGAGTACAGTTTTATAAAACGAGATTTTAATTGCATTATCAAATATACCAACATATTCCGTTGATTTCTTTCTTACAGAATTTAGAGTGCTTAGTTTGTACCACGTGTTATAATTAATTACATTTCTTCCTAAGTCATGATAGAAAAGATATAAAGCTTATTACAAGAAATTTAGTAAGAACTTTGGGCATATAATATGCCCACTTCATTATGATGCTGTTACTGAGGGACAAAGAGATCAGTGATGTCATGAATTTGCTTCCCTGTAAGTAGGCTACGGGCACACACACATCTGTCTTCATATATACAGCTGTGATCTACAGTAGTATGAGATTTACACAAGAGGAAGGTGCTCTAAAATGGGGTTTAAGTGGATATGTGAGTGGATACAAAACTAAGCCAGTGCTTACAGTGAGAGAAATAAAGTGGAATTGGCTCAATCAATAGAACAATTCATACGTATGTGTAGAAAGTCAACTTAAATGATCTAGAAGTGGATGGCTTCAGATCTTTCTGAGCAGAAATGAAATGGAAACCCACTTCTCCCAATTCAAGTACTAACCAGCTTTCCATTAACTTATGTATTTTTTTTTGGTGGAACCTGGGATTGAACTCAGGCCCTTGCACTTGCTGGGCAGGTGCTTATTCTATTGAGCTATCTCCCTGGCCCCTCCCATTAATTCATTTAGAAAGATTTTATATACTGTGAAATAAAAACAAAACAAAAAAAGAAACAATGAAAATAGCATTCCTGCACTTTGACAGAGCATTAAGAATAGTAATGTGTGTAACTTACCTCCTTGAATGACTGCAGTAGGTTACTACCAGAAACCGAGAGTGTAATGTCTATATGATGCATTATAAACAACGGCTCTTCCTGTGTCTGGTATGGAAAACAGGCTAGATTGTCTGCTATATACAAGAGCATAGTCACTTCTGTTTTCTGTAAATTTTAAAAAAAGGTATACATATTTAGTGGATAATCTAGAAACCCACCCAAAAACTTTTTAGGAAAGTTATAGGGACACTTTCACTTCAGTTAATATTAGAGAAAGAAAAACGAGGCAGATGGAGAAAGAGTGAGAGAAGAAAGGAGAAGAGGGGAAAAAGAGAAAAAGGAAGAGGGAGAGAGGTGTAAGGAAGGAGGACAGAAATGGATAATAATCTTACACCCTTCAGGAGATATAGTGACTCACATCATGCTACCTCAAGAGAGAAGGAGGAGAAAGTTTTTAGTGCACCCAAGTGAAAATCCTGTTTTCTTGGACTATATCCTGGAGCTCTATTATAAATCCATACCACAGCAGAAAGCATACATGAGTTCATATTCGTCATTGTGCTTTAAGAGCTTAACACACGTGGGATCTGTTACACGAAGTCGCTATTCTGCCCTCAAAAACTGGTAACTACAATACTAGTATGTTGTTTAAAAAAAAACAACTCCAAATTTCATGTACTAATAAAACATCTGTCAGTTTTTTTCTTTGTACATAATTTCAAGTATCAGAGTTGTTTTGACAGTGCTACCAGTTACACAATATACAAACTTCGATAGGTGAAACTTAGAAAAATTCGGTTACTTTTTGTAATTTAGAGACTTGCAGCATCTCATGATCTTTTATAATATAAAGATGGGTACACTAGTATTCATATTACTTTTATACATAGCTTTAAAAAAAAACTGAAAAGCAAACAAAGAAAAAGCAACAAATAATCCCTCCTATCATCCCCCTTCCCCTGCCACCCAAATAACAATCTAACAGCAACAGCAGTAACAATAAAAATTCCACAGGAACAAATATAAGAAAGCTGGTATTAATACTGATAATACTTCTCAATCTATGTTTTATTTTAAAGTGTGTTGACACCTACATCTTATAGCTGAGGAAGTAGATACAAATATCAGATATTACCATATAATTCATACATGTTTTCTAGCTAAAACAAAAATGTACAGGCTGTAAGCATTTTCTTTGAATAAACTTTCTCAACACTAAAATTCTTCAGCACTGGCTGTAACAGTCCTACACCACTCTTCCTTTTCAAAAATCAACCCTGGCAGTCTAGACTAGCGGTAAATCTATGCACATGCACCACAGCAGGCTGTTTGCATCACTGAAAGCTCTAAAAGATTAGCCCCGCATGGTGGTGTTCTCCTATAATCTCAGCACTAGGGTGGTTGAGGCACAAGATAGAGGCCAGACTAGGCTACATAGGTAAGTTCAAGGCCTGCTGGAACTACAGTGAGATTGACTAAAAAAACAAGAAAAAGTAAAAGAAAAAAGAAAACCAACCCTTCAAACAAAAACGAGCTCTAAGAGGTATACTATCACTGGTCTGTTCTTCCTACTATTCTTCAAATGTCTCTCTTTGCTCAATGTTTTCTGTCTACCCAATTTTTCCTAAGTCTTTTTTTTTTTGGTTACTGGGACTCAAACTCAGAACTTTGTACTTTCCAGGCAAGCACTGTGCCACTAAGCTACATCCCAAACCTTTTACTTCTTAGTCATCATGATTTCTCAGTAGTATCTTTTTTTTTTTCTTTTTTCTCTTTTCTTTTTCTTCCTTTTGGTCTTTTTGAGATAAGGTCTCACTATATAGTTCAAGGTGGCCTTGAACTCACTGTATAGTCCAGGCTGGCCTCAAGTTCACAGCAATACAGCTGCCTCAGCCTCGCAAGTGTTGGGATTGCAGGTGTGGGCCATCACACTCAGCCACTATATTCCTTTTTTTTTTTTTCCAGCTGCTATATTCTTAACTACACATTCCTTTCCCCAGTTCTTTGTTTGAGGCAAGGTATTGCTATACTGTGTAGTTCAGGCTGGTTTAAAAGTCACTGTCTAGTTCAGGTCGGTCTTGAACCTGTGGTGATCTTCCTGTTCCAGTCTCTTGAGTTGCTGGGATTACACGTGTGTGCGCCATCATGCTGAGCAGAGTCTAATTTAATTTATTCTTTCTTACCAGTATTTTTTTTTCCCTTTTCTAGTAACCACTTGCTCCCACTGTAAATACAAGAGATCAATTTCTTACTACTTCCAGGGTAAACACGATGCTGAAAAACTTATGTTTCTAAAATGCTCTTTGGCACTGTCCTCATTATTTAGTCCTCCACTGTCCACAGCAGTGGTTCCCAACCCTTTCGGCGCCAGAAATTGTTTTTTTTTTTTTTGAAGATCATTTTTCCACAAATGAGGTCTGGGAGGGAGGATGGTTTCAGCATGATTCAAATGCATCCTAGATACTTTGCACCAGCAATTTAGAGTAGGATTCACATTCCTACAAGAAGCCAACGCCAGTTGCTATCTGACAGGAGGCCATGAGGAGCTGCAGTAAGCACACATGAAGCTTCCCTTGCTAGCTTGCCTGTTGCTCACTTTCCACTGTGTGGCCCAGTTCCTAACAGCTCTAGCTGATGGGGACCTGTGGTCTATTTCTCACACATTTGTACCTTTGTATTTTCATACATGTTTTTAATCCTGCCTGGTACATTTTCCTTCTGACTCATAGTTTATCTGCTTCATGTAATTATTTTAGGTCTTTAGTAATTCGTTCCTTCTCTGACATCCTTTGTCAAAGGTAATCAGGAAAAAGCACTACTTTATGAAACCTGCATTTCTAGTGTCAACTGCTGAGATGACATAACATACATCTGATAAAGAGCAGGAGGTGAAACCACATAGAGATGCAGGGAATGGAGCAACACTGACAGGCACTCAATATATACTAATCTTAATCACTATGTACTTTATCCTCATAACTGGAGGTGGAATCATATGAGGAGGCAAGAACATCACATCATTCTTAACATAGTCTCCTACACTCAGTGAAAGCAAAATATTGATGACATAATGATGATGGTGGTGGTGAAATATTTTAGGCATTTCTGAAACACAGTATCTTGGTTCATGAATACTTTTGTTTGTGAACAATGTGGCTTGCAAACAGAAGCATTTAGCAAAATTTTGTTTTTGCTTGAGGACTCTGCATTGGGTGAATGAACAAGACTTCAAATATCTTTCCTGCAAGAACATGAATGTTGCCATCTTTTCCAGAACTGTGAAACAAAATTAAGTTCACGAACCAAGGTACTACTGTACTTGCTTGTAATGTTTGCTTGTAGACGACTATACAAAATTTTTTTTTTTTTGTGGTACTGGGGATTGAACAACTAGATTGCACTTCTAGTTGTTCAAAATGAAAAACTAGAGAACTCAGCAGCCAAAAATCTACAATGGTTATTTTCTAATAATATCAGTATCTACAGAAAAGGGAGAGGTTCATGTCTTATAGGCAATCTATTCCTGAAGTGACAGTTTTGTGATGCAGTTTACTTACAAAGATGCCTTTAGTTTTTAAAGTTTCTAAAATACTATGGAGGCACAATCACAATTTATTTCTCATTACATTTATTGTCATGTAAAACTTCTTTTCCAACTTTGACTATATATTTTGAAAATAATTTAGTGAATTAAGGATACATATTTAATACAGTCACTAAAAATTATTAAAATAGCAATATTTTAAAAGTGAATTTTCTAGGCATCAAATTCCTAGGACACTTATTTAAAAAAAGTAAGTTTTTATGCTTACTGCTGTGTCATCAAAGAGGTTGAGTAAAGAAATAAGAAAGGCTCGTCTGTGTTGGCGGTTCCCACGAATCATGGAGTAAAGATGTGAACACAAAGCACTAGAGGACTCATCTTGTCTGAAACCCCTTACAGGATCTCTTAGGCAGGTGTTGATTGCCTGTTGTACCTGGTAAGACATCTTCATACCAGCCACTGCTTTCATCTGAAATCAATAAAAGCCTCATTTTTGTCAGGGAAATTAGTAAGCGCCAAATTAAAAATTACATTGAGCATTGCATTCTGATGCTAACATTTGGTTTTATTTTTTGAAAAACAACAAAACAAAACAAAACTAGGATGAAATAGTAGAGGGAATATTAGAAAGCATCTACTGCAAATTCTTCATTTTACACTAGGAAAAAAAAATCAAGGCCTAAAATTCACTGCTGCTAAGTTCACTAAGTAGCATCTTTCTGATCTTTAGTCCAGTGTGCTTCCTGGACTGATAGATCACTCTGGCACTGTCGTACTTTTAAACCAGAATAAACACCTTGGGAAACAAACTTAATTACACACTGAGAAGATCACTAAACAAAACATCTTCTCCTACAAGAAATGATCTCTAGAACATTTACCAAAGAAGTAGTTTTGGTTTATTAAAGAAAGATGTTTAAATTTACTTTATGCTGTTAAAAAAAAATACATACATGAATAAATCCAGCATATTTTTTGTCTATTTCCACAAGCTGTTGATCAGCCTTGTTCCGCATAGCAGGTTCTGGGTCTGTGCCCATAGCAATTAAGTATGGGACACACTGTTAAAAATAAAAATAAAGGATTTATAAGACAACACAGTAGCAAAACCTCTATCTCCACATATTTCAAAACTTTTCTATTTATGTATCTTGCTTTATAGGCTTTCCCATAAATGCTATGTTTTAGTGTTCTTTAAGAAAATGATAAATCTTTCTTTTGATTATCTTAGCAAGAAAGCATCAGCAATACTGATGTGGTAAAATCTAAATAATTTCAATGTTGTATAAGGCTCAGATACAAAGTGTATTTCAAATGTATAGTCTAGTAATTCTTAAACTTGCTTGAATTTGCTACAGTAAAGATAACACAGGGCAAAGAAAAAAAAATTGTTTTCTATACCTGAACCCAGAGAAATACACTAAACATAGTACTTTTGTTCATTATTGAGTAGGCATAACATTCAGGGGCCTTGCACGTGCTACACAAGAGCTAGCATCCCTGGGCTGCATCCCTGTCCCTTCTTTCACTGTACTTCTAAAGTTCAGAAATAACACTTCCATGTTAAGTGATTCTGAATCAGGTATCAGTAAGAAGGCCAACAATAAACATAAAACCAACTTCAAAAATACAGACATAACATTAAATGGAATGGGTGACCACAGGTTAAATCAAAGATCAGGAAACAGAGTCTGTAAGAAATACTGTTGGCAGCATTTGGGAGGTGGAGGCAGGGAGAATGAGTTCACCCAGTCTAGGGTACACAAATGAGACTCTGTCTGAAAACTTCAAACAAAACATAAGCAAATAAAACACAACATTTGAAAATGGCTGTATGCTACGAAGCATTATATCAATTTAAAATTTCATAGATTTGATGCTTGCATTTTGGCTTTGTAAGACAATATCCTTGTTCTTAAAAATATGTATATGAAGTATTTAGATGTGAAGAATTGTAACAGCTGAAACTTACTATAAAATGATTCAAAAAAGAGGTTAAAAAATGAAGCAAATGTGACAGAACAGTGACAAATGGTAAATACAGGTGAAGAGTATAAAGGAATTCAATGCAATTTCTCTGCATTAAAATTCTAAGGGGTTTTGTTTATTTTTAAAAAAAATTTATTTGTGTGTGTGTGTGTGTGTGTCCAGCTCAGCCCACCAGGGGGCGGGGCTGGCTGGCATGTGGTGCTGGGGGATTGAACCGCGGTCCCTGTGCTTTGCTAAGCTTGTTCTAAGTAGGTGCTTTAGACCACTGAGCCATTTCACCAGCCCCTCTAAGGGGTTTTAGAAAAAAGATTGAGCATCTCTAATTTGAAAACAGGAAATCCAAATATTTTTTCTTAGAAGTATTTTTAGTACAGGGTCTACAGTATCTCACTACACAGATCAGACTCACAGTGATTCACCTGTTTTCAGCCTCCCAACTGCTGGGATTATAGGCGTGCACCACCACGCCCAGTCTCAATCCCCATCTCAGTGTGCCCCAGGGGCAAGGCTGGCATGGCATGCTGGGGATCAAACCATGGCCCTACGCTCAGCCTAAGCAGGCACTTTAGTCCACTGAGCTATTTGCCGGCCCAAATTGTAGATGGATTTTTGGTTTTGGCTAGCTCAGTCGGCCTTAAGGGCAGGTCCGGTATAGCTTGTGGAGCTGGGGAGAGAACCTCGGTTCCCCACACCTGAGTTTGCCAAGCAGGTGCTTTAAACAACTGAGCTAACCTGCAAGCTCCCCAATTTTTTTTGAGTATCAACAAGGTTTCTCAAAATGAACAAAAAACAAAAACAAACAAACGAAAAACCCCCTACGGTTTTCAGTTTCAAATGTATGATAGCAGCTTTTAGAATTTTCAGACTAGGGATACCTGTTAAAATTTATTCAAATATTCCAAACTGAAAAACTAAAAAAAAAAAAAAAAAAAAAAGGAATTTTAGTCCCAAATATTTTGAGTAAGGGGGTCTTAATGTGTATAATAATAAATACTAAAAAATCCAGCAGAGTCCTCTATTTTAACAGGTGAAAGTATCAACCGACTGCTATACACTATAACAAGTGACCTTGATGACAAAGTGAAGAACAGGCTAAAGATCTGCTGATGGGCTTTGTTTTAGGACATAGGGATGAAGATACTATATTTAAATATATCCTGTTTTAGAAAACGTTCCATGAAAATGATAAAAATAAAAATAAAATCCTGAGGCATATAGAGCTGGCAATTCAGTAACAATACTGTTTGTAGCCAGTGGCACTGTGGCACTATCCTGTGGTGTAGAATACAGCACTACACCAGCACTGGCTGCCAATCTTTAGGAACACTAGTCTGCCTTTATTGTATCACTTTTTTTTCTTCTGTGGTACTGGCATTTGAATGCAGGGCCTTGTGCATGCTAGGGAAGCCCTTTACCACTAGGCCTTTTTATCATTTCATTTCCATAATTACTTCAAAATGTTGGGTAGCTGATGTGACCTTCTCTTTAAAGGGGTAAAACTGACCTGGACAATCAACTTTTAGAAAAAAAAAGGTAAGAGAACAGAAAGAAAAAAAAGGGAAAGGAAAGTGAAAAGGAAAAGCATGAAAGGAAGGGAAGAAGAAAGGAAGAAAGGAAAGTTTAGGATCTGGGGATATAGCTCAGTGGCATAGTGGCAAGCATGAGGTCATGAGTTTGATTCTTAGTGCCAAACAACAACAAAAAAGTTTATTTAATTAAATTAAATTAATTATTTTTAACAAAAAAGTTTAGGACAAAGATGTTTAAAGATTAAGAAAAATAAAGAACTATTTACTCTTTAATCACAATGTCATTAAGTAATAACTAATCTGGCTCCTTTTTGTTAAGTGGCACTTCTATGAAACTTACCTGAACTGGATGAATGAGACCCTGGTTTAGAGTCAAAGCAATGACATTTAGAGCAAAGTGGCGCACACTTGACTGGGTGTGAAAAAACGCTTCAAGCACCTGTTTGAGGTAAAGCTGCATGATAGAACTACTCATCCCTGAGGAAACATCACCCATTTCCTTTAAGTCTTCCTGTTTTGCAACTTTCTTCCCTAAGGAAAGAAGCAAAGTTGAATATGCAGTAAGAGCACACTGACTTTAGTACTCCAAACTTAGGCCATGATCAAAATCAAAACATGCTATAGCTAGTGTTGTGGCACCATGGGTTCTAATCCCACCCAACCTTGTCACAGGTTCTTTTATGAATCTGGGAAGAAATATAATTCCTTCTGATCCATTAATTTTTTTTTTTTTTTGGTGGAGCCAGGGATTGGACTCAGGCCCTCGCGCTTGCCAGGCAAGCACTTATTCTACTGAGGTATCTCCTCAGCCCCATTAAAATGTTAATGCTTGCAGGTACCTTAAAAATCTACAAGTATTTCAGGGATAAAGTCTAGCCATGGACCTCAGGTTATGGACTGCTATTTAATTGCATTTCTTCATCTGATAAATATGAACATATAGTTACATGTATTAAAGAAAATAGGTTATAGTTTCATAATCACAACTGCACTGTGAAACTTAAAAAGACATATTCGCACTCACAGTCTCTATCTGCTTGTTGCATGCGTGTATCCTCTTCTTGTAGGTAGGTCTGAAGGTTTTTTAACACTTGTATTTTTAAATTGACTGAAGAGTTCTTATCAGATAAAATATTATTATATAGATTCTTTACTTCTTGCTCAAACATTAGACTTGGATGCTGAATAAAGGCAAATCCTAAGAAAGAGAAAAGAAAATTTTATATATTTGTAGCACAAGTAAATATAGCAGTTAATGAAAATGTTAAATTATATAAAGAGCTCCTTATTTAAAAAAATTAAAACTTAAAAAATGACTGGAAGAATATGCTAGTGGCCTTACCTAGAGCAGTATTAGAGCAGGTACTTCTTTCCCCATGAATTAAAAACAAGAAATTGCATTTCAAAGGAGAATTTCACACAAGAGGAAACCTTGAGGAGGGAGCAGGGCCTAGTGGCTAGGGGAGTGGATTAGGAGTCAGGAGTCTTGGGTTCTATTCCTGGCTCCACCACTGACTTGTAGTGTGACCTTAGGTGAGTCACACAATCTCTCTGTGCCTCAATTCTCCATCTGTAAAATGGGGACAATAATATTTACCACCCACCTACCTCAAAGGGATGTTTTTAGGATTTAAGAAATAATGTTGGCAAACATTTTTCAGATCCCTACTAGAAGGTACTACATTGATACTTAAAAAAAATCAAAATATACCCATTTGACGAAACAATAAATTTTAAATAGACCACAGCTAAAAATGTCTATCTCTTTTTTGTATGGCATTTTGGTGCCATAGGGATGAATTGTATAACCAATGAATATAAATAGCAAAATATTATGTTTATTAATATCAAATGTTTACTAATTTGCAAAAAATGAATAAATACCCTTGATGGAAGGCCCAGTATTACTAATATCAGAAACATACTAAACTCAAAGCAGAGTGATCAGATAACTAGCCAAGGCACACAGGGTAAGATGGCCCAGGTGAAGTATCTTTCATTAACTGCCCTAGAGCCACTATTTTCTATAATGCTGTTTCTTTAACCTCATTTATCTGTTCTCTGAATTTGCTATAATAGTTGGTCTTGCTACTCTGTAATTTACATCCAGACTGAATATGACATTTTCCCTTGAAGGTACTATTATGCCAATATAACACTACATCACTAAAATACTATAACATAGTAGATCATGTCTGAATTTCTATATTTGCTTTAAGTAATTTTCTGAAACAGATGGGGTAGTAAGGTAAGTAAGACTTAAATTTGTTTAAAATATAACCTAGATTTAATCTTTATCATTCACTTTTGTTTGAACACAAATACAAGTCAATACCTATGCATGGTATACTATAGAACTTGACAATGATATCAAAACATTTTCAAATCAATTACTAAACTTATTGGGTACTTTAACATGTATTTACATGAAAGAAATAATAAAAATAAACTTGGAGAAATTGTTTTTCTTGCATTTTATTTTTAAACAGAAAAAAAGAATAAATTTATTACATGATTTATGGGAGTTTTACACTTTTTACATACAGTATTCAATTTATATCCTTTAATGTTATCCTTTTCTTACCTATAAAGTGATATTTCAGTTCATGAACTTTTTTTTTTAATATAGGGTCTTGCTATACAGTTTGGATTCATAGCAATTGTCCTGTCTCAGCTTCCCCTGTGCTGGTACTGCATGCAGTACTGGGGACTGAAATTGGGACTCTGCACTTGCCAGGCAGGTGCTTATGCTGCCAGGCTATCTCCCCAGTCCCAGGAACTTGTTTTTTTCTAAGATTTGGGTCATGAACTGAGTTGGACAAAACTAAATCAAATTCAATTGTTAGGTTTAATGATTTTTTTTTTTTTTCTTTTTCTTTTCTTTTTTTTTTTTTTAGGTTTAATGTTGACCTTAGGAAGAAATTTGATTAGGTTCTCATCCAGTTTTTTTGTGGCCAGAATTGTGTCAGAACTGAGTTTGGAAACCAAGGTACCACTGTATTCTAATTCCTTTACAGATAAACCATAATCAGTGTCTCTGGGAAAGTATTACTGAACAGGTAGATACATATCCAACTGCTGTTACAGTTGGTTATTATGTGATTGTAACTAATGACAAAAGCTTTGCAATTTGAAATAACAAAAATATGCAAACAGCACAAAACTCTTCTACATTATCAGCAAAGTGCTTTAATGGATGTTAAGATACCCTGGGAAGTAAAATAGGAGACAATATCCTCATTTATATTGAGCAATGAAGAAACTGATGAACTAAGAACGAAGGTGTTCTGAGTTGCTTGCTCAAGATCTCCCAGAAGCTCACCATTTGAGGCCAGAGTGGAATCTAGGTATTCTGAACTCCACTCCTTTCTACACCCCAGATCCTACCTCTAACAGAAACATTTAAATAAATGAATAATTGAGACTCACAGTATTCAAAAAAGTTTACTCCACCCCTGAGGAAGCTAAAAGCTATAAAGAAATTTAGCCTGAACTTACCCAAGCCAATGATGGCTTTTGTTTGTACTTCTTCATCTGAATGTTTTGTAAAATACATCAGCAGTTCAAGTACTTTATCCTTTATGTTAACCTAAGGGGAAAATCCCATGGTAAAGTATTCAAAAAGAACAATTATCAAATATCTGGGGAAAACATGTCTAAAAGCAAACAGGAATTTCCCAAGTCATTTTATCCCCCTACTTACTAAAATAGCAAAACAGACCAAGAAGCCAAACCAGGCTTAGGAACGTAGCTCAGTGGTATATTACTTTCTTATTCTCAATGCTCTGGGTTTGATTCCCAAAACTGAAAGTTTATGTGGCATAAAGTATCACACTATGACAAACAAGTTTGTGCAAGAACTTAAATCAATGCATTGTCCCCTTTATTAAGAAAAATCAGGAAAAAAAAAAGGCTTTAGACAGTGTTCCTACTATGAAAGAACTGATATAACTGGTGGTAAAAACTTCAAAGCTTAGCACAGACCAGTAACAAATCATTTACCCTGTGTCACTAAAGTCACTCTAAGCTTAGGTGGTCACCTAGAACTAGTTTCATACATGCTAAGTATTACTTATGATTTTTACCTTACTGTTGCCTTTAAAATCTTCCAGATCAAAATCAAAATGTCGACATAGTGCTCCAACAGTGAAAAGGGATCTAAGAAGTGCTGGTTTGTTTGTCAGAAGTGAAGTGTTATTTGGGTCCTCTTGGTGTTGACTTTTTAATTTTGAAATGGCACCTAATAAACATAAATAATATTTATTTGTAACAAATCCTCTATCCTTGAATTATGATGTTCAAGTATTCACTATTAATGACTTATATATCTTGTTATGGGTACACTCTTTACAGGATAAAATTATTCAAATACTAAAAAACCCCTTATATTCTACTTTATATAGTGGGTGCAAAGTGTATTATTTAAAAGAAGATAAACTTCTGACATTATCATAATGATTTCTTAAGGGAACAAGAATAAAAGATATTGATTTGAGTGTGGATTAAAAGGAATAGCCACCTTTGCTAAAGCCAAAGCAGAGAACTTACCATAGTATCTATTGAAACAGGCCCACACAAATTTAAAATTCTGTGTAACTTTATTTACAACAGCCCCAAGACAGCTCACACAATGCTGCACTACCTAAAAGATATACAAGATGTTACTGTTCAGGTACAAGTAAAATATAGTATTATTTTTTTTCCTTTTTACATATACTTGCCTTAAAAAAAAAATACACTGGAACTTAATTTGACATACAATATTTTAAGTTACCATTCCCAAATTATATACAAATTAGTACAGAAATAGCAAACTGAATGCTTACAGTCATGCCATATTTGATGATGAGCTTCATAAGATCTTCTTCAATAGTGGCAAGGAAAGTTTCACTTGGATGCTCCATGAGTGGTACAACTAGTTCTAGGATTTTTGCAACATTGCAGATAACCATGAAATCATTTTGTGTCTATAAGAATAAAATTAATGTCACATGAATATCCAAAACATAAAAATTAACTATACATAACATTATATATTTGAGAGCAGAGGTAGACTATCATGTATGTCAAATTTCAGTTACAAAGTCTACAAGGAAGGAGTTTTTCTTTTTTAGGTACAGAAAAAAAAAGCATCAGAGACAGTAATAGGAACACAGATTCTAGCTCTGCTTGTAAACATGACACACTTGGGTCACTTAATCACAATGCTAAAGTTATTTTTTCTTTACGTGAGACACAAGTAAAATTAAAAACAAGCATTTAAATATTGGTGTTGTATTCTACAAAGACAAGTACAGCTTTTAGGATTAGTACTGTACAAAGTAGTTTATCTTAACACTGTAGTTCTTTCTCAATTAGAGATGAATTTGCTCTCTACTCCCTGCCAAGAAGTCTGGCAATGTCTGGGGATATTTTTGGTCTTCACACTGAGAGCTATAGAGGGTATAGCTGCCACAGAGTAGAGGGAGGCCAGGGATGCTGCTGACCACCCTAAGATCAAAGAATAGTCTCTTAATAGTGAGTAACTCATTCCTATTAAAAATGCTGAGGTTGAAACATCCTGTGTTGATTTTGAGATAACAGACTAAAAAAACTGGCACAAGTCTTCTTTATCTCAAATTTAAATAATAAAATAAAAAAACCTAAGCACTTTTTTTTGGCTATTGTGGATTGAACTCAGGACCTTGTGCTTGCCAGACAGACACTTATACTGCTGAGCCTTCTCCCCAGTCCAACCCAAGCACATTTAAAAAAAATGATGGGATATTAAAAAAAAAAAATCAAAAGGTACTAAAAAACTTATGATAAAGTTTCTTTTCCATCTGTGTTCAACCCAGCCAGTTTCACTTCAAAAGTCAACCAAAGTTACCAGTATTTTTGTGCACTAAGGTTTTCCCCAATGTATGTTTTTAATCTAACCAATTTACCATTCCTCACCTTTAGCAATGGATTATTAATACTAATTTGAGGCTTTCTGAGCTTATTGCTTCACTGGTTGAAAACTTGCCTACATTACTCATTCTTCCTATCAAGAATTAAGTAAGTTTTCAAAATGTAAAATGAACATTTTATTCTAAATAACAAGTCCTGTCATTTTATTATCTCCCACTCTAGTACTTTTAAGAAAAGGGAAGAGAGAAAGTCTACAGAGTAGGAAAGCTACCTGAGCAAGTTAGAGAATCATTCTTTAATATTATATTTTTAAAATGTGGGTAGTATTTTCTAAGTCTTCTGTTTAAATAATGTCCTGGAAAATCAGGTAAAGAATCTTAAAATCTGAAAGAAAAATTTAAAAATGATAGAGATAATGAAAAAAAAAAAAAGAGTAGAACATAAATAGTTGAAATGAATGTAAAGTGGTTTAATATTAACTAAAATATTTAAAGTTTTCAGAAATCTGAACAAAGGTCCAAAATTCAGATAAAATAGATAAAAGATACAAAGATTACACAAAAAGTTCAAGCCACAGAAAAACAAATCCTATTGCTCAACATCATGCAAGATGTTCAACCTTCTTGGAAGACATAAAAAAAAGCTGGAGCAATAGTGATTATTTGACTGGGAAGATAGCTTGGCAGTCTAAGCACCTGCCTGGCAAGTGGGTTTGATTACTGGTACTGCATGCTGTGCTGGCCACTCATACCAGGCATGGTGGCGCAGGCCTGTAGTCCCAGTGCTGGGGAGGCTGAGACAGGAGGATCACTACGAGTCTGAGCTGCATAGTGTGACCCTGTACCAAATAAATAAATGAAATTCAAGTTTTAAAAATTGATTATTCTTTGTATCTATTATACTGGCAAAGAGTACAAAAAGAATGACACCAATGGTCATATACAGTTTTACACCAGTAATCTGGCAAGATTTATCTAACAGTTTCCTGCCCAAACATGACGTTTTTATTCGAGCAAGTTCATTTCTAAGCATTTGTTTCAGCAAAATGTAAGCAGCAGTTTAAATGTATATGAACAACAACAACAACAAAAATAATAAATGTATATGAACAGTGTTATGGTTTGGATCTTAAATGTTCACTAAAGGGCATGGGTTGACAGTCACCAGTCTGTGACACCTGGAAGGTGGGAGGATTTGTAGTAGGTGGGGTCCAATAGGAGGAAGGATGGTCATTGGAAAGATGCCCTTAAAAAAGAGGATAGAGGGCCGGGGAGATGGCTCAGTGGAATAAGCGCTTCCCTGGCAAATTCAAGGACCTGAGTTCAATCCCCAGTTCCGCAAAAAAAAAAAAAAAAAGAGGATAGAGAGACCTGAGCTCCTTCCTGGCTGGCATGAAGTAAGCAACTTCTTTCAGTATGCCATAATGGACTGTCTCACTACAGGCCCAAGCATGAGACACAGCAGGGTCAACTGATCAGGAACTGAAGCATCTAAAATTCCGAGTCAAAATACATGCTTCTCCTTTAAGTTGTTTAAAGTATTTTATCACAGATGGAAAGTTGAGTAAAATAAACATAAATGTTTAGTAAGGAATTATTTGTAGAGGCAATCAATAAAAATTAATGTAAATATTTGTCAAATGAAATAATTAAATAAATCATGGGACATCCATGGGATGGATAATATAGCCATTTCAAAGAATAAATTAGGGGCTCAGAGTAAAGTGCTTCCCTAGCACCAGCAAAGGCCCTGGGTCTGATATAAGCACAACAAAAAACGAAAATAAACTACCCTCCCACCAGAAAAATCAGGTTGTGTGAGATGAATAATTTGCACATAGCAGATGTACATTATATAATTCATTTTTTTCCCCAACAAACCTGTTTATGTGCCTACAGTTATATATGCACACATAAAGTAAATAAGGATAATCCAGGTTATTTGCTGTAATGAGAGGAATAAAAGTGGGGACAGACTATAAAAACAAAAAGCATTTACATAAGTATCTATTACATATTATACGCCCCTGCCCCTAGGAGCACTGGTGAGTGAACCCAGGCTGCTGCCTGTGCTAGGCAAGCGTCCTGCCACTGAGGTGTACCACAGTCCTAGATGGTCTCATTTCAATAAAATTTTGTGTATATTAGTGCATAAGAAATGTGTAACATGTCTTAAAAGTGATTTTGCTTTAGAACTTTTTTTTTTGAAATTTAGTACAGTACAGGGTTTACAGGGCTCACTACATAGATCAGACTCCTAGTGATTCTCCTGTTTTCAGCCTCCCAAGCACTGGGATCATAGGCATGTGCCACCACTCCCAGTCTCAACTGCCTTTTTAGTGTGCTTCAGGGTCGGGGCTGGCACGGCACACGGGAGGCGATCGGGGGGTTCGAACCCTGGCCCCTGCATCTGTCTAAGCAGGCGCTTTACTCTGTAAAACTGTTTAGTAAGCATAAGCTATTATTGGACACAGATTATATTTTAACTAATTTATTTTATGTTATTTAAAATTTTTTTTTTTTCGGAACCGGGGATTGAATAATTTATTTTTGCATCTAACCCAAGCACTAAAGATGGAATAGGTGTCTCAAAAGTAATATATATTGCTTTTATGTATTTTTTATACTCTGCTATTCTCTTTAGTTCTTTAAATTTTCCCAGGAAATCTGAAGCTTCCTTCTAAAATTATAATTTAGAAGTTTAAAACATGTAATGACAATAGCAAACAAATGTAGTAAAGTTAAAATTAGTTCTTTAGAAACACTGGCAATACAGTATGTGAAAATTACTGACATTTGTAAGTTTTTAGGGTATTTCAAATTTAGCATTTGGAACAAACAAATTATGTTAAATTATATGTATTTTAAAATCTCACTTTGCTAGATTATTTTACTTTAGCAATGTTTTATTCTCACACCTTATTTTAAGAAAACACAGTATATGTAATATTAACATAATCTCTTTCTTTTTTTGTAGTGGGACTCAAACTCAGGACCTTGCACCTGCCAGACAGGTGCTGTGCAGCTGAGCTATATCCCCAGCACTTCAAATAATAGTTTTTTTGGGTTTTTTTTTGGTGGAACCAGGGATTGAACTCAGGTCCTTGTGCTTGCCAGGCGAGCACTTATCCCACTGAGCCATCTCCCCGGCCCCCCAAATAATAGTTTTGATATGATACTAAGTTTTTTACATTTCATATATTGCTTTAGTTTGACAAGCAAGTACTAAGTTCAGACTCCAAAAGATACTTTTTCAGCTAGGAAACCTGACTCATTCATATTTGAGCTGAAATTTTATTTATGATGCATCACAAAAAGAATGTTTGCAGGTAATTTGCCGTAAGTACTGTAACATATATTTGAGCAAGTAAGTGTTAGCATTTGTCGTCAGTGAGACTATAAATTCTAAATTTAAAATACATGTTTTATCTAAGTCAGAAAAATAAAGTAGCTCTATACTTACACTACATTTAGTGGTAAGGTACGGTTGCATAGTCATGGCATGTTTAACCATGAGCTGGGGTCTTATTTTGCTGAATAAGAACAAAGTGGTTATACAAGCTACCAATCTTCCAGAATTCACACCTTTATTGTCAGAGTCTGGAAAAACAAAGAAATAAGATACTAAAATATGGCAAAGCAATGGAAATCACACAGATCATTACTTGTTACTCAATGTTTCTTCTTGAATAGCTTCAGTCTAGGGCTCAAAAAATGATCTATATTTCTTATGCTATTAGATTTTCTGCATCTTTTTTTTCTGATAGAAATTATGCATACTAAACATAAAGGGCACAGATGTCTCATTAAGAAAGTGGAATTTCCATTAAAAAGTAGAATGGAAGTTGTGAAGTATAGGGATGGTCTTTTAGAAATAAAGATAGTGTGATGTATAAAAATACATAGAAATAAATATTAGTGAAGGTGGAACAAAAACAATGTAGTTAAGATACACCATGTTTTACTGAGGAAAAGAAACATGGTTGAAGGGCTGGGGAGATGAATCAGTAGAATAATTGCCTGCCTCACAAACACAGGGACCTGAGTTCAATCCCCAGTACCACCAAAAAATTAAAAAAAAAAAAAAAGAAAAGAAAAGAAAAAGAAAAAGAAACATGGTTGAAGGATGTTAAAAAAAAAAATCAGGATGAGGAAGTGGGTAGAAAAGATGGACCAATGCTATGTTCAACAAAATACTGGTTTGGTGAGAAGAAAATTGTTAGGAGATACACTGATTTTTAGTAAACAAGTTAACTTTTAGAGGAAATGATCAACTTTAAAAAACATTAAAGGACAAAAGCACCACTAAAATCTAAAAGGAAAAATAGAATAAGGAGATAAAAAGAAAAGAGGTATACATGGAAAACCGAAAAATTGTGAAAGAGAAAAGAACTAAAAAAAAACCAAAAAAAACAAAACAAAACAAAAAAAAAAAACAAAGAACAACAGTTTTCAGAGGCATCTCTCTTGGAGGTGACTGGACCCAGTACAGAACATGACTGAAGCTGACTATGGTCCTTCATTAATGTGCAGTATAGGAGATGGAAGTAGTTAACTTTATATGCTCTAAGCAGCAAGTATCAATAATGGTTTTTATTTTTGTTTTGAGACAGGATATCACTATGTAGTTTTGGCTCATCAAGAGTTTATTTTGTAGCCCAGGCTGGCCTTGAACTTGCAGTGATTCTCCTGTCTCAGCCTCCCAAGTGCTGGGTTAACAGATGTATACCACCACACCCAGTTTGTATTTTAAAAACGTTAACAGATTTCTGGTTTAAAAGAAGTTCTGTATTACTATAAACGGTACTAGAGATATCTTTTAAAAACATTTTTATAATAGCTAAAAGCAACTTCATTTTGAGAGAAAATCTTATATGATTTTAAAGGTAAGTTAATTTTGTGATGAGAGCCACTCACTAAACACACACTGGTCGCAGGATTCACTTTTACTTCTATTCAGTGTAACACCTGAAGTGTATACTGTGCAGATATGTAGGCAAGGCGAGGTCTACATTCTCTTTACACTGCCTCTGAGTCTCAGTTGACCTAACACTGTGCCCTACAGTGTGACACCACACAGACACTCAAATATGGCAAACCAATTTCACTGAACAGTAATCTCTAGGTAAGCAGAGTCCCAGGCAAAAATGAGAAATGTGCCCAAAGTATTTTAACATATAAAAATCAACTTAAGGATCAATACATAAAATGTCTTACCAGCTAGAGATTCCTCATATTTAAGAATGTGCTCAACTAGGTTATCTACAAGTTGAGTACAAGCTTTCTTCACAGGTTTATATGAGGAATCCTCTTCAGACTTCAACAACTATATATGTGTATACATAAAAAAACAAAACAAACAAACCCGAGTATAATTATTCATTAGGCAGTACTAATATAAACACATTAAGTGTGCCCATTACACTAAGCTTTCCAACCTATCATTAACACTTGATTATTGAAAGTGCAAATAATAAATAATGTGTTTCATTTAAAAATCTTACAAACTACTGATTTGCAAATATTTTCAAACAATTTTAGTACAAAGCATTTAAACAACTGTGTGTAGAACCATAGGTAGGAGATGAGGTACAGGAAAGATGATCTTTTTTTTTTCCCTTACTCCAACCCAAAACCAAAAGTTCCACTAAATATTATTTCAAATATTTTAAGAAATTTGTAACTTTAATTACATCTGAATTATACACTAAACTTTGTAATTATAAAATGTGAAGGTAGATTCCTTTATCTGATGCTAAATTAATATAAAACGCCTACAAAGAACAATGAATAATAATGGGACAAGGGGTCAGTCTGACTATAGTAAAAAATTAAACCAGTTCAACCATTCTGAATTATGTCAATGGAAAAGCCCTTTAAACAAGACTCAAAAAATGCTGACAACTTCTGAAGCTGCGTAACAAATATTTTCAGTTGAAATTTTCAGAAATAAATTAAAAATTTATAAGGATGAACATTTCCATTCATGAAACTTTAAAAATAAACTGTTTAAGTCTAAACTATTAAAGGAAATTCTATGTATTTTATAACATGACAAATACTGTAATCATATATTTAATGCAATCTGTCTTTTAATAAATCTATCTCATATAGATTAAAGGAATAAGATAAAAATATTATTGAAAGGAAGCAAGAAAAGAATTTCAATTAGTGAAAATATTTAACAGAGAAATGAAAAGAATTTCAAAACTGTAAAGTCTGCAAAGAACTAATCTTGTATTAAATTTCATTTTATGAAACATCAAAATACTCACATTTTGAAGAAGCTGCTCAAACCAGTCATATCCAGTATCTCTGCATGCTGCAACCTAACAGTGAAAAAGGTAGAGAAATTCTCAAAGGTAGAAATTTGCTTTTAAAAACAGAATTTTGTTATTCTGTATTCTGAAGCACATGCATGAGTAAAAGATCTTATTTGTAAAATAATGAATTTTTTTTCAGTAAAAGTTTGCCTATGTTACAGAATTTCTTTCAAAAAATAACTTGGAAAACACTGAAGAAATTAGTTTAATATATTGAAGACTACTATGGTCCTAAATTTTGAAAACTAAATCTTACTACTAAAAAAAAAAAAAAAAAAAAAAAAAAATTAAGGTCTAAACAATAAAAACAAAAATACTGTCTCAATCTTTTTAGACTGCAGACTTAAAGATATCAGTGGAAATGTAGAAGGATTATGAAACCGAATTTATAAAATTTCTCAAAGCATAAAAAGTACTTTGAATAAAAACCCCAATAGTTGGTGTGTGTATCATTATCATCATCATCATCATTACCAAAATTTGTATTTTCTGAAAAAGGTAGAAATTATTTTGTGTTTGTAGTTACTGCCCACAGGCTACTTATCTATATTCCTCAACTCTGTTGGAGGATTAGGATCTCAACATCAGTGTTTACATTGGCGAATGCCAAAAATTTGGGCCATGAAAAAACATCGACCTCATCTAACTTGCATCCTTTGAGGAACACCAGAAATATAAAGTGAAGGAACCAGTGCTAATGTCAAGATTTAACCAAATACCTCATCACATCTCTCTCTTCATTCATAAAATGAAATACGTTCAACTATGTTTGCACTCAAAGTGGCCCCAATACTTGTTTCTGCCCTTCTTACCACATCAGTGATGTTTAAAATTTTCCTTGTCATTGCTTCTTTGTCATTGTGTGGCGTTGGAGTAAACCACAGTTTTTGGAATGTTTCATTTACTAATTTCTAGAAGAAGAAAGTTCATATTAACTACAAGAAATATAGCAAATTGTTAATCCTAAATTTTCATCAAGGCCCAACATAAAAATCTAACTAGCCAAAACACAAATTTCCAGTAGTTTCTGTGTAAATTTCCTCATCAGATGCCAGACATGGTGGCATGAGACTTTATTCCCAGCACTCAGGGAAGTTAAAGCAGGAGGATTTCAAGTTCAAGTCTTGTTTGGGAAACTCAGAGAGTCCCTGTCTCAAAAATAAAAGGGGGTGTGGGGATGTAGCTCAGTGTATAAAGGCCTTGGGTTCAATCCCTGATACCTCAGCAAGCAAGCAAACCACACATAAGAATTAGTTTCTCAAAACCATGAACTTTTAAGAAGATTTTTAGTAATTTAGGTGATACTTTGTCTAGACTCAAACTTCTGAGTAGCACAGATATGCTTGCTGTCTGTTGCTGATAAAACTTACAAAGTTTTACTGCTTTTAAAGTGCTGGTTGAACTTAAAAAGGAAAACCAAATTAGTAATTAATGTAGGACACAATGTTAAGGTATTTACTTGCTAATTTAGAAACTCTGCCCCACACCATTTGGAAATCAAAATAATTTCAATGTGATGATATACTTTCTGGATAGAAGGCATGTCTACAATAACAAAAAATAAACAGAAGAATAACTGTTATATATTACCTTAATGCCCTCTTCATCATTGACTCTGCGAATCATTTTTACACACATTTCTGTAATTTTTGGAAATGTTGGCTGTTCAATACAGATGTCTCTTAGAATCTTTATTACTCTTTTTCTGACACTGATACCAGTATCCTAAAAACAGAAAGTTATTTTCAAATATTAGATAAATTGAGATGCTTAAAATGTATAAAAGCTTTGTAAAATGAAGTAATTTACCACTGGACAAAAAACTAGAAAATAATCTTGTCAGGATTAAATCAGATAATATACGTAAAATTTTGTAGAATAGTGTATGGCTCTTAAACAGCATATGAAGTATACCCAGGAAAAAAAATTTAATGCAAATCTAAAAAACTTTTGATGCTAATTTATTATAGGAAATGGGAGAAACAGAGGAACAACTAAAATCGTGAGGTTCATCAACTTATGAATGGATAAAAAAGTGTTCTTTTTATACAAGGGAGAATGTTATAAAGAAGGATATACTTAAGACATTTATAGCTAAATGGATGGATCTTTTTTTTTTTTTTTTTTTTGGCAGAACCAGAGATTGAACTCGGGCCCTTGTGCTTGCCAGGCAAGTACTTATTCTACTGAGCTATCTCCCCAGCCCCTGGATGGATCTTTAGATCATGTTCTTAAGAGAAATAAATCTGTCACACATGTAAATATCACATTGTCTCTCTGGTGTGAGAAACTCTAAGGTATAAGTAAGAACCAAAATGTGTAACAGAAATTCTGAAATAGGAAGAAACTGTTCAAAAGGACAGGGAAACTGGCGTGGGAGGAGAGGGAGGAAGAAGAGAAAAAAAAAAAGGGATAAAATGGAAATAAAACTTTATAAATAAGGTGGGGAAGAGGGGCTAAACGAAGAGGTAATGAGGGAAAGAGAGGTACAGATTTTCCCTGTGATGAATGTCATCGATCAATCGATCTATCTATCTAAATTGTACCAATAAATTTTTAAAAAATCCATGGAATAAAAAATAACACCTTGTCTTTTAAATGAGTCCCTGTCATGGGACATATATATAAGAAAAAGAATAAGAGAACAGTTTTCCATGTTTAGAAATGATCCCTAAATGCAAAGCATGATGGAACTTTAAACTTTTTTGGGAAGGAGAAGAAAAACGAGACTGGAAAAGATATTTTGGAGTAACTAGAGAATCTGAGTATGAACTGGTTATTAAGTGATATACAGAATATTAACTTAGTTGAGTAAGACAATGGTTTTTTTTTTTTTAAAGACAATGGTTTTGTTTATAAAAAACAATTTCTTTTAAAAAACAGTACCTTGGAGAGTCACATGGAAAGAAAACATTCTCTCAGGCTTTCACAGAGAGCACATTGGCGAAGCAATGGCCGTGACTCATCCATATGGCTGACACTGACAAAGGTTCTACAATCTGAGGTAGAGGATCTCAGGATAAATCCTGAGGGCATTTCACTGA